AATGCGATTAATTATAATTAATTAAAATTTATTTTTAATTGGTTAATAATAACAGTTGGAATTGGATCAAGTCCAATTGTCCAATTGTTTAAATGGACTTATTGGTATTAGTACAATAAGTCCAATATCCAATTGGTCCAATTGGTCCAATTGTCCAATTGCCAACACTGCTACAGATGACTCAATAAAAGTTTTGTTATCATTTAAGATAATTGAAGAACAAAAAAATATATCAATACAAAATGCACAGCTAACAAAGCTGAAACGTCATGTTGAAGCTCAATCAAGGCTAGCAGCAAAAAAACAGAAATTGCTAGAAGAGGGTATTGTAAAAAAATATAATACTCCAGAAAAACCATCTGTAACTATGAAAGATCCAGATCTATGGGATAAAATCCATGACAGTGTTGAGTTTGGAGCTGCTCATGCTAAACAAAGAAAAGTGGTCATAAAAGTTAGGACTATGAAGTATTTACGCGAAACTCTAGAAGAAAAATATAATACTTATCTATCTCGTCAATTCTTATCAACTTATCTTCAACCCTGAAACCAGCATACCTTTGCTGCACGTCATCATCATCATCCAACAAAGGTTGGTCTTGCCTCTGTATTATGGACAGAAATGAAACCTCATATTGATGAACATTACTGTCTAGCTTCCGTCAAAGCCACAAGAGTATTTGCTGAAGTTTTTACTGATGAGGCGATTATCATCTCCTAGGATGATAAGGCTAAGGTTAGATTGGGCATTCCCGCAGTTAGTCGCACATTCAAAACAATTCAGTCAGTTAATGAACCAGTAACTATCAAAGATCACGATTTCCCAACTGGTTCAAAAATGACTCATACCTTCCGTTTATTTAGTCATTAATCCAGCTAATTTAAGCAATACCCTTCGTACTAGTCAGCTTTCCATATTCATTAGACCAGAATATTTTATTGGAACTTCATTAACAACCCATATAGTAGATTTAGAAAGTATCGTTTCGAATGAAGAGTTTTCCACTACCCTAAAGAAAGAAGGCAAAGTTAGACCTATTTTGATTCTTCTTGTTGATGGTGGACCTGATGAAAACCCGAAGCATATGAAAAATATTATTCAATATGCTCACCTTTTTCATGCCTTTGATCTGGACTACTTGACGATTCGTACTCATGCTCTAGGTCAAAATGCGTATAACCCAGTTGAATGCAGTATGGCTTCTTTATCTGCAAAACTTGCTGGTATCACTCTACTTGTAGGAGAATTCGGATCACATCTAAATAGTCAAGGGAAAGTAGTAGATGAAGAATTAGCACGATGGAATTTTGAATATTCAGGAAAAAAACTATGTGATATATGAAAAAGGGATAACATACATGGAAAACCTGTGACGGTGGAATATATCGACTAGGAGAGACATCCATTCAATGATCCTAAGCCTTCAATATTGTGGGAGTGAATTGAGGATCATATACAGATGTGTCGCTATTCACTGGATATAAGAAAATGTAAAAATAATGAATGTTGTAATGTATATAGATCTTCAGATGCTGTCATCCTTTTAAATGAGAATAATGAATTCCTTCCTCCAACTATGAAAGGAAAAGATGGTCACTTCATCAACCCAATTCATGCTCTTCAATATTACGATAAACTCAAAATTCCAAAGTATGATAGCTGTTACCCTTCAATTTCACGAGAATTATATTAGCGTTTATGTTGTAGCATATGTGGCAAATATTTTCTGATTCTCAAGTTCATAAGTGACTATAAGCGTATTGTACATTCTAGACGTCACAATAAGAAATCAAAAAGCCCTCAGAAATAAGCTAACGAGACGGAAATGGGTTGTATGCTTATTCCATTCAATCTAAATTTTAATGTCGCTAAAGATATAGTTTAAAGCAAAGGTATGGGATAAGTTGAACGGGATTCTTGCGAAGTTCAGTCAGACGAAGATTAAAAAAAGAAGAAAAAAGTTGGCTTTTATATTAGTTTTATGTGATGATATAATAATGTCAGACACTAAAATATCTTTACATATAATATGTGGCTCCGTCGTGTCGTGTTGTAATAAAATATAAGAATTGAATAAAATAATAAAATTAATAAAATGCTTTTTGATTTCACTCGGCATGTGAATATTATAATTCTGACCAATCATTTTATTCGGCATGTGATTTTTGCTAATATTTTTAGCCAAA